TGTAACCATTTCCTATATTTAAGTAACGCTTTCTTGATTTATGGAAAATGTTCTTAGCATTAGAAATATAAATTTACTTGTATTTTAAAAAAAGGAAGTTTTAATGACGATTTTCCAAAATTTATAGTAAGTTTTATTTAACGTTAATACAACCTCAATTCCATAGCATACAGTAGCCACAGGGAGCAACCTTCAGACTAAGGCAAATATAAATTAACTACGTAAGAAAAAAAAAATATATTTTTAATTATTTTATTTACTTTTGGGGTCAACACTAGAAATCGCACCTAGAAATATATCTTGTCATTTCCTCTGTCCGTCTGTCCGTATGAACGCGCGATCTGTAAATGCTACAATACTGGGTTTAGGCATGCAGATTCCTGAGATTACTGCGCAGCGCAAGTTTTTTTCGTCAGTGTGCCACGCCCACTCTAACGCCCATAACCACATAACCATATATTGAGATCGCGGGTAGGTGGCGCATTACAATCTCGCTTTGCTGCTTGCATATCTCCATTTCCCTTTGGTGCCTTTAGCTGAGTAACGGGTATCTGATAGTGGAGGTACTCGACATGTGTTTCATAGAACAAAAACCTTTATTGCTGGACAAGAATTTTTTGTGTTGCGAAACAATTAAAAATGTAAATCATCAAATTACATAATAAATCATAATTTTAATCAATTAATTAAAGTATCATTTTCCTGACTGATGGCACTTTCAAACTTAAAATTGCCGACTCACTTATTCAAAGCACTTGTTTTCGTTCGATTAACGCCGAAAGTATACGCGTTTTTTACTCGTAGAGTAAATGGGTATACTATGTTTGTCGGGAAGTATGTTTCAGGTAGAAGGAACCCCATAAAGTATAAATATCCTTGATAAGGATCAGTAGCCGAGGCGAACTAGCCAAGGTACCAATTTAATTTAAATTGTATTGGAATAAGTTTGTCATAGCGTCAGATTTCTTTGACCCCCAAGCTACATTAAATTAATTTTATATTAATTTATACAATTCTTTATTACCATTATAATTTATAATGGAAAATAGTCATTAGCATTATACTTTTCAATTGTATTAAACTACTTTTCCATTAGCATTAGCTTTGCCGTTACTCGTAGAGTAAAAGGGTATACCACATTCGTCGGAAAGTATGTAACAGGCAGAAGAAAGCGTTTCCGACCCCATAAAGTATTTATATTCTTGATCAGGATCACTAGCCGAGTCGATCTAGCCATGTCCGTCTGTCCGTCTGTCTTTCCGTCCGTATTAACGCTGAGATCTCAGAAACTATAAGAGCTACAATACTGCGATTATGCATGCAGATTACTGAGATTTCTGCGCAGCGACAGTTTGTTTCAGCAGGGTGCCACGCCCACTCTAACGCCCACAAATCGGCAAAAAACTGTGGCTCCTACAGTTTTGGTGCTAGAATAAAAATTTTAACTGAAATGTATTTTTCTCATCAATACCTATCGATTGACCACAAAAAAAGTTTTCCACGCCCACTTTAACGCCCACAAACTTCAAAAAATCGTAAGTATGAACGCGGATATCTCGGAAACTATCAAAGATAGAGAATCAGATTTAGATTCCGTAGCCTTGTACGCAGCGCAAGTTTGTTACGCGAATATGCCACGCCCACTCTAACGCCCACAATCCGTCCAAACCTGTGGCGCCCACAATTTTCATGCTAGATAAAATATTTAACTGAAATGTATAAGCATCCTCAATACCTATCGATTGCTCCAAAAAAACTTTGGCCACGCCCACTCTAACGCCCATAACGCTTAAATCTGTCTCCCGCCCACATAACAATAAATTGAGATCGCGGGTAGGTGGCGCACTTCAATCTCGTTTTGCTGCTTGCATATTTCCATTTCCCTTTGATCCCTTAAACTGAGTATCGGGTATCTGATAGTCGAGGAACTCGACTATAGCGTTCTTCCTTGTTTTCATTGAATTCGAAAGGAATGAATTCTTTTTCCTTTTTTCCAAAAGTATTGCAACGATATTCCATTAACATCACTTTTTCAAAGCAGTGAATTCATTTTCAATTAGCATTACTTTGTCAAAAGTAATTAATTATTTAGCAATACATTTTCAAAATTATTTTATATGATGGACGTTGATGCACTACGAGCAGTACAAACAAGTGGCCCAACGACACCAAGCACGTGCTTGTTACGCGCGGGGCCCTTTTATCAATTTGGGCAAAACATACGAGTTCGCGAGGAAGATACAAAAAACAAATAGAGACGGGACACAAATGAAAATAAAGGAAGCATCTAAGAATGAAGAAAATGAGTTAAAATATTAGTTTTTAATACCGGGATAGAAGTTGAAGTGCAAATTAAATGATAAAGGTTGTTATAATTATTACATAGAACGCGAAAGGGCTCGTGCAGACAAAAATTAGATGTACATCTTGGCAAATTTAGGGGATAATAATTTCGTGTTAGTCTAACAGGAACATTGACAGTTAGGCGGTTTACAAGTTCTATAGAATCAATATCACCTCTTATAAGATTTTGCATAAAAATAGTACCAAGCATTGTTCTACGATTTGCAAGGGTAGGTAAATTAAGCAATAGTAATCTACTCTGATAGGAAGGTAGCCTTATGTTTTGATCCCAGTTCAAACTACGAAGGGCAAAAAGAAGAAATTTTTTTTGTACCGACTCAATACGGTCAATATGCACTTGGTATTGTGGACTCCAAACCGAAGAACAATATTCCAAAATAGGACGGACAAGGGAGGTAAATAATAATTTGGTTGTATAAGGGTCATCAAATTCTTTTGACCAACGCTTTATAAACCCAAGAACACTCATGGCCTTGCTGACAGTGGACATTATGTGGCAGTCAAATTTAAGTTTTGGGTCCAGAAGAACGCCTAAGTCATTAACTGAATATATACGGTCGAGTAACGTATTTTGAAGAGAGTAACTAACAAAAGTAGGAGTACCTCTATGAAAAGTCATAACGTTGCATTTAAGGCAGTTCAAATTTAAAAGGTTATACTCACACCATCCCTGAAAACAATCAATATCTGACTGTAAGTTGAAACCCGACGCTATATCATTATGTGATAAACAAAGCTTAACATCATCAGCATACATTAGTACACGAGAGTGTGTTATGATAGAGGGAAGATCGTTAATAAACAAAGTAAACAGCAAAGGGCCCAAATGACTACCCTGAGGCACTCCAGATGTCACATAGATCAGTTTTGAGGCAGCGTTCTTGAATATAACCCTCTGAGTCCTACCATTCAAATAACTTGAAATCCAAGTTAATAGATTACATGGAAACCCAAGCTGATTTAATTTGAATAAGAGAAGAGAGTGGTTGACAGAGTCAAAGGCCTTACTAAAATCAGTGTATATAACGTCAGTCTGCATTTTATTCTTAAATCCATTTATTACAATAGATGACAATTCCAGAAGGTTGGTGGTGGTCGATCTACTAGATACCCGTTGGTGAAATGGTGATATGCTTAAAGCAACTCTGTTTTTTCATTAACACATCTAGCCTATGGCGTCACCTACTTTCTTATTCTATAGCTCAACTTGGCCTACAGCGCCAACTACCCTATAGCGCCCCTAGTGGCTTGGTAGCATATTGTTGAAAACAGCTTATTTGCTGCATGGGGTGTGCAATCTCAATTGATTGATTATTATTTGGTAACTTGGGAAATCTATTAAAAAAAAAATTAAAATAAGTTCCATGTAAGATTTATTATTTAGAGACGGTTCTCCATCGAGAAATTGTAATAGGGACTTTCACTCAGGAGGATCCAATTACCATGGATAACTATGACTGGTTCGTTGAAATTTCACAAAGTTCAATTTTGTGGTCCTGTGTTATTATTTGGTTATAAATTATTGAGTGGTCGCAATTATATAATTTTTGGCATGCAGATAGGTATTGATAATAAGAACAAACTAAGCAGGTCCTGGCACCCAGCTGAAACAAACATGTGCTGCGCAGGAAGCCTGCAAGTCAAGTCCCGACACTCTGGTTTTCGAGATCTCAGCGTTCATACGAGCAGACGGACATGGCTAAATCGACTCGGCTAGTGATCCTGATAAAGAACACATATACTTTATGGGGTCGGAAATGCTTCCTTCTACCTGTTACATACTTTCCGACGAATCTAGTATACGGGCGGTATGACAGGTTTAAGCGTTATGGACGTTAGAGTGGGCGTGGTAAACTTTTTTTTGGGTCAATCAATAGGTATTGACGGGACTAATACATTTCAAATTGTGGGCGCCACAGGCTTAGGCGGTTTTTGGAACGATCGATAGGTATTGACGAGACTAATACATTTCAGTTAAAATTTTTAACTAGCATGCAAATTGTAGGCACCACGGATTTGGGCGGTTTGTTGGCGTTAGTGTGGGCGTAGCATATTTCCGTAACAAACTTGTGCTGCGTACAAGGTACGGAGTCTAAATCGGAAATCCCAATTCTCTATTTTTGATAGTTTCCGAGATATCCGCGTACATACTTAAGATTTTTTTAAGTTTGTGGGCGTTGCAAATTGGGTCAATCGATAGGTATTGATGAGAACAATACATTTCAGTTAAAATGTTTATTCTAGCATCCAAACTGTAGGAGCCACAGTTTTGGGCGGTTTGTGGGCGTTAGAGTGGGCGTGGCACGCTGACGAAACAAACTTGAGCTGCGTAAGAAGATCAGGAATCTGCATGCCAAATCTCAATAGCCTAGCTCTTATAGTTTCCGAGATCTCAGCGTTTATCCGGACGGACCAACAGACGGACAGAAGGACATGGCTAGATCGACTCAGCTAGTGATCCTGAGAATATATATGATCCTCCAGAATATATATACTTTATGGGGTCGGAAACGCTTCCTTCTGCCTGTTACATACTTTCCGACGAATCTAGTATACCAATTTTCTCTACGAGTAACGGGTATAAAAATTGAAAGCCTGGTTAATATGGAACGTCCCATAAATGATAAATCATTTAGTCCCGTTGTAATTGTTTTTATTGGTTTATATTAAAAAAAGCTTTAAAGCGGAACCATAGAACATTTTATTTTTTCACTGCCCCCATCCTGCTAGCGTCCTGACTAGGGTAGGGTACTTGGCCAGGCGGTTGAGGAACGGATATAGAGTCAAGACTCACACTCGAGCTAGATGCCGCTGTGGTACTGGCATTGCCGTAAGGCGCTGCGTATGTCGGCTGGCTGTACAACTGGTATGCTGATGCCGGAACCAAGTTGGATGGCAGCTGGTGCAGCTTCATGCCGGCGGGCATGACGTTGATCTGCTCTTGTCGTAGATTAAAGTAGTCGTTTGGCTTCGCACTGGGCGGCGGAATGCCAGCCACGTCGAAGCGCCGGTCTGTCTTTGCGACGGTGCTCTGTTTTGCCTGGGAGTGGGCCCACTTAATGCTCACCTTCCGGCCTTGGATCACCAGTTTGTTAAAAGTTCGCTCGGCGGCCAGCTCGGCGGCGTTCCTTTTGGTGTACTGCACAAAACCGCACTGCTGGCGTGGCACCAGGGCAATGGACCTGATTTCGCCGAACTGGTAGAACTGATCTCGCAGTTCTGGCTCAGTAATCTCCTCAGGAAGGTTTCCCACGTACAGAGTAGTGATATTTCGATCCTCCGGCGGCTCGAGCGTGGGGAGCGACGCTGCCCGCTTCATTATCTTTTCGGCCACTGGGTCGTTGCGTCCGTAGTACCTGTCCTTGATGTTCTGCTCGCACAGCGGATCGTCGGGCTCGTTGGGCTTGTCGTGGCGGTAGGGACACTCCTCCCCTCGCTTGCACTCTCCCTTCACCCAGAAAGAGCATATGTGTGGTCTGTTTCGCTTGTAGTACGGTGCCGTGCGCGCTAGCTTGGACAGCATCTCGTTGGCGGCGAGAGATCGGCCGACTGCCCCGGCTGCCTCTGTGCCATCACCGTCTTGCAACTGGGCGTCTATGTTTTGGATGTAGTACTCCTTGTTCACGTCGCTCTGCGGCATATTGTCTGCTACTTTAAGGGCCGCGTCGCGCACCTGAATGGGTAACCCGTACTCCAGATCCAAAAGGCATGTCTGACACACGTTCTTTAGGCGCGCACATGTTTGGCAAATCTCCGTCTTTTTGAAGCGCATCCGGGCGCCAGGACACCATCGAAATATAGTGAACGGGCGTGTGCAGATTTTGCATTCCTTGCCGAAGCGCTCCTTAATCATCCGCACGTATGGATTGTCGCCTAGGCAAGTCTGGCACAGAATGGGAAACTCGGCGTCCTCCCAGTTTTGCCGATTGTAGGTGTTCGTGGTCTTCGACATTGACATGATGACGGCAGTTTTGTTTTTAAGCTAAATCCAGACAATGCTCACTTTTTTTCTAAAATGGTGATTGTTGTCGAATGATATATTTACGATGTACATACATACATATGTAGCAACACTAATATATCGAGTCAAAAGCAGTTTCTTAGCTCAAGACATCGATAGCATTTGGTAACATGAATAGAACCACACTATTTACTATACATATGCGCGTCAGCAATTTCGAAATAACCTATTGAAACGGACAATTTAAAACTAGTAAAATTATTTGAAAATATATCGGTGATAAGAAAATTTTTTGAGTGGCATGAAGAAAAACATGCAACAGCGAAAATGTTCTTGCAAGGTGTTCACATGGTCCGCCGCTGTTGCAAAAGCAGCTCTATTATTAAACGTGGTCAAAAATTGTTGTTATGTTCACCCCAAATATTTGCTACAACTCGACTCTAACTTTTGCCCTGTGTTGTGTCTATTTATTTGGTATCTATTAAAATTATTGCATAATAAACACAAATAAAATAAACAGTTTCACGTTTAGTCGTTTAAAAGGTGCCTTTGAGCAATGTACATTTGTATTGAAAAATAAAAATACCTTTTTTTTAAATACAACGGTAATATTAAAGGTCAGGCTTATCTTTCAAAAGAAAAACATGAGGCAGAAGAAAAGGATAATAGGGTATTCAGAGAAAGAGGATTTCTTCTTTACCCACCAAATTCATCTTCAGCAGCTTTTTACAAGCAGCTTGGCAAGACCTGGCCACTGTTGCACCAAATACATAGTTCCAATACAACATATGCACCAATACATAACTTTTCTAAAATGAAGGCGTTTGGGTTTTAAATGCCAAAGGGGCGACGAAGACTGGCTGCCACGCCCCTAAGAATCAATACTTTTTAATACATTTTTGGTTTATTAATTTTTAAAATACAATAAACTATTTTCAAAACACAAACACAACATAACCTTGTACACTTTTTCAATAAAAATGACTAAAGTAGGTCCGGTTCTTACATTTAATTAATAGAGCTCTCACACTTTAGCTAGTAGCAATAAACAATTATTTACCGCTGGAAATATTTCACATGCAAGGGTTCGAATTGTAGTTAGTTTTGCGTTCTTATATATTTTGTTGCGGAAAATAAAATAAATAAATAAATTAAATAGGGACTATTGTTAGCCAAAAGTTTCGCCAGGAGAATTTGAACAATATAGAACCGTTTGGACCGTATTAAGTATTTGTAACACCATCCTTGCATAGGTTACTTGTCTATATCCATTTTTGATCAACAATTTTGGCAGGTGAATGACCCTTCTATTGGTTTTTTGATTAGATAAATATTATATTTTTTGTCAAGAAGAACATTTCCTTAAAAAGCATACCAATATTTATTTTCAAGATGAGATCAATTGTTGAGTTCCGATTCGTTGGAAGGCTCTTTGGTCCTGCAGCAACAACAAAATCATTATAACGGCGCCATTGCAGTCAAAATGCATTTCCTTCGATAAAGAAAGCCAAGTACAAAAATCACTTAAGCCCGTAAAAAATACTAAAAAAAAGACTGAAATACGAATTGATTTACGCGTGCCGTCCCATTTTCCGCGGAAGCGAGTTGTAGCGACTTTTCCCGTCTCTTTCTTGCACGAGTATTTCTTATGGAAGAAAAAGTTGCTGATGCGGAATTTGGTCGTTGAAGCGGAAACCCCCCCAAATACCCGTTTCGCAGCTAAGGGGAGTGCGATTTAGATAGGCAATGACGGTTCACAATTGAACACCCTGCATCCTCGCCACCTTGCGACGATTTCTTTATTTGCTCCTCTCTTAGATGAATAGTAAGATTTCGACAATCAAAAATAAATGTTTTTCCACTTTTACAAAATCTTCAAAAATATGGGTGCCAGACATGTCTTAGCGTGGAAGTGTGGACGTTGGATTGGGCGTGGCACTCTGCTAAAAAGAACTTGCGCTGCGTAAGCACCTCAAGAATTTAGATGCTTTTATGGTCTCTAAGATCTTAGCGTTCATACGGACGGACAGACAGACGGACATCGCTAGTTTGACTCGGCTAGTGATCGTGATCAATAATATATATACTTTATAGGGTTCGAAACGCTTCCTCCTACCTATTACATATTTACCGATGAATCTAGTTACTTTACGAGTAACGGGTATAAAATTAACTGAACGGTTGTAAAGAATTTAACTAAATTCATGGTATTTTAATTCCCAAATCGAACGTAAAATTGATTGTTAGATATTTTTCCTAAAGCCTAGCACTCAGATCGGCTAAGAGTTTCACTAGTCGAAAAATCTTATTCTTTGCAGTGTGACCGAAGTTTTCAAAGTTCACTCGCAATGCATGTGGCATGGTCTTACTGTCAAGCAACTGAGCTTCTTGCCAAACGGAAATCAAATCAATTGAGCAATTTTAAAAATAAGAGTCTGTTGGTGCACAAAGTCCCAATAGGCTGGCCAATAATTGATGGTGATGGCTCCTCCAGCTTTTTCTTAGCGGGCGACCTTATTTTCTCCTCCCTATCGAAGCTGGCGCGTCCTCTATCTCCGATTTAGCTGTCAAGTAGTAGGAGGTGGAGTCCTCTGTTCCTTTCCACTGGGATTCTCTAGTGGATCTTGTCCAGCACTTCAACTATTCTGCGGATTTGCCCCGTTGTGGTATTGCTTCCTGTCGGTCAAGTCTCACAATAATGGGCAACAGCTTGGATTAGGCGTAATTCATCTGCTCTGACCTCCTGCAGCCGATTTTGGGGTTTTCCTTCCATTTTAATTTATTAGTTTCCACATCGCCTTTGCACAAACACCGCCAAAGACTAAATTTCTTTTTCTTTTGGCCGCGGCTAACGGCGTTCATCTAAAATTCACTCGCGAAATCAGGTATTTTTTCTGGTATTTCCTGAGCTCATCTAAGTACCGCGCTGAAAAACAGACCCGACGAAAAGCTTTAGCCGCCTGTTTGCCTCTCGCTCATTCCTATGGTTAGCTCGCAGTTTTCGTCGATGTGAGTACTAGGCTTAAACAATTTTGTTTCTTTTTGATTTGGTTTCGAAAAGGCAAGAAAATTTAAAAATGCAAAGATCCCCCATGTTCCTAATTCCACCATTCCACTTTTGTTGCTAACAGGCCGACGCTAACTTGACGGACATTATTTATAATCATGTAATTAGTAATCATGTGCGTTCAGCATTCAGGTACTATGTTGTTTGCTGAACGCGGCCAATATCTCTTTTCACGATTAGCTTAATTGATTAGTTTCGAGCCGTTAAAAAAGGCTCCTTGGTCAAGCACCAACAAAAATTGACTTGTACCGGCGCCATTGCAGTGCAAATGCATTTAATACAAATACTGAAATACTGAAATGGTGCATATGAGGTCCTACTTTCCCCGTCTCTTTCTAGCACTTGCATTTCTTTTCTTTCTTCATTAAATTGTTGAAAAACACCACATTTTTAAAGTTTGCGGAGTTCTAGCTAACAATTAAAATTAAAGTGTGACACACATCTAAATTGTCTTCACTTGAGACATAATTGAAAACATGGAGCAAAAAAAAAATTTGTTGTCCTCTTTTTTGTGATCTAGGGATCCAACTCTACCAGGAGTATTATCATCCTTCTTGGAGCCCTTTGGCTATAAGCTAGTGTAATATATCTTTTGGTAGATTCCCGACTTGGGTGGTTGTACGCGGCTATACAAACGTTTTTTGACATTTGACATTTTGTCTATTGTCTTTGTGAGTAATTTGCACGGAGCAGATTGCATGTATGCCAATTTCTGTCCTACGTTGTACGTGGCCTCGGGACACCGATTATATAAGCCGTTCGATCACAAACGTGTTAAGTCTTAAGGCCGAACGATCACAAATGATCATGTACACATACTGGAACGACCACCAGCGATTACTCATGAAACGGCGGCATTCGCTCCCCGGTCATTTCTTTTCACTCACGGTTACATCACGATTACATCAAAGCGCGCGGATACGAGTAAATCATCGGACATACCTTGATTGTATGTTTGATTGAATCGTTGCAGGTCTATGGTGTCCTGGTAGAGGCTGACAGCTGACATAACCCGATAAATGGGGTCAACGCAGGTAAACACCTTCTCTTACCGCCTTTCCAAATTTTCGGATTATTCTATAGTTTGTGGACAAAAGTAAAAATATCGTTATTCTTGACGCTTCACATCCAAATTGGCGTATGCCCTTTAAGCCAAGTACTGACATCGACGAAAACCGCGAGCTAACTACACACAGATGCGAATTGCAAATAGGCGGCTAACGCTTTTTGTTGGGTCCGTTTTTTATCGCGGATAAAGTAAGGAAATACAAGATTTCGTGAGTGAATTCCGAAGAACGCAGTTAGTCGCGGCGTAAAGCATACACAAATGTAAACTTTCGGTGTGTTTTTGCAGAAGCGGTATTCAAGAGGTCATCCACCGCCATTACCAGCCATTGCCAGGATGGTGTGCGACTTTCTGGCAGATCAGCAGAACAACCCCGCTCCCAAGGCTACCTCAAGGCCTATGTTGGAATGGCGCGGAGAAGATGGCGAAGCATCCGCGAGACGAGAAGCAGGCTTTAAAATACTAATTTACACGAATAAAACTTTCGATGAAAATTGCATTTATTATACCCGGTACACCTAGAGTAAACGGGTATACTAGATTCGTCGGAATGTATGTAACAGGTAGAAGGAAGCGTTTCCGACCCCATAAAGTATATGTATATACTCTTGATCAGGATTAATTGCCGAGTTGATGTAGCTATGTCCGTCTGTCCGTATGAACGCTATGATCTCGGATACTATAAAAGCTGCATACTTGATTAGGCATGCAGATTCTAGAGATTCCTGCGCAGCGCAAGTTTGTTTCGTCAGTGTGCCACGTCCTCAAGTCGCCCAAAACTGTGGCGCCTACAGTTTTAATGCTAGAATTAGAATGTTAACTGAAATGTATCGTTCTTATCAATACGTATCGAGTGACCCAAATAAAGTTTGCCCCGTCCACTTTAGTTTTCAGGTAGCTGGCGCATTACAGTCTAGCTTTGCTGCTTACATATCTCCAACTCCACTTGGTTCCTTTAGCTAGTTAACGGGTATCAGATAGTCGAGGCACTCGACTAAATCGTTTTCTCTTGTTTTCATTTAATTTCTTTCAGCACCAACAGACTAGTCCTTTTTAAACTGCCTTAATTGATTTGTTTTCCGTTTAGCCAAGAACTCAGATCGGCTAAGATTGGGCTTCTCGATTGGATTATCTCCAGCACTTGGTGTGGTATTGCTTTCTGTGGATCCCAAAAGTCCCACAATAATGGCCAACTTGGATAAGGCTCGGACTAGACGTCCTTTCTCATCTGCACTGACCTCCTGCAGGTGTTTTGGGTCTTGCCTTTTATTTTTAATTTTTCGTTTCAACATCGCTTCTGCACGAACACACCGAAAGTTTAAATTTTTTAGTCTTTGCCCGGCGGCTAACGACGTCCACTGAAATTCACTCGCGGAATCAGGTATTCTTTCTGGTATTTTTTTAGCTCAACTGAGTACCAAGCTCTCGTTCCCTCCTGTGGTTAGCTTGCGGATTTCGTCGATGTGAGTACTAGGTTTTTGTCAACAACTCCAGATGCTTGACAGTATGACTATTACTATGTTTATGCTAAGGGTTTCATGATTTCTTAAAATTTGTTCCTGTTTATGCGACACGGCCGAATTCATGCATTTTATCAATCTCAGCTGACAGAGGTGCCGGTCCGGTGAAAAAAGGTGTTAGCGATTATTAAACCGATAATTTTTTTCAACTCGCATGAACTAATCTTGCTAGTATTAAAGATAAAGTGTGTGTATGCCAGTATAACATTTTTTCTTCCGTCAAAATAAAAGATGAAAATTAGTTTTTATTGGCACTGAATAAAAAAATAATTTGTTAAATGTAAGGTGTGTTTATATATTTATATCGATCTGGCAACTCCGATTATTGTATAGAGTTACCGGAGTTTAATTGTCACCATTTCACGCTTTGAGGTTGAATTCATAGTCAACTTTCGTGTGTTGCCGAATTCACGAAATGGCGTTTATGTACACACGAATCGGCTGAAATCGCGAAATGAAAGCGTGAATTCGGCTTCCCATAAACACAGTATATTTTACATGCATTGATTTTCATTCACATTGCAAAGAGTCCAATTTTTCGACTAGTGAAACTGTTAGCCGACCCCTGGTATTGGTATATACCATAACTTTAATTTCCATATTGCACAACATGTTTTGAGACTTCTTAGCAATAATTAAGGCAGTGGAACTACTATATAATAACGGCGTATATTTTTAAGTATTTTTTTATGGCTGGATATTATAAAACGGTCGCACCCGACGCACCGTGGCTTGTTTTTGTTTACAAGTAGGTGCAAACTGGAGCAAATTGGCCGACATGGCTCAGGCTAAGCGCTACCGTAGGTCCTCAAAGTCCTCCGATGACGGAGACCAGGACAACGAGGAGTACGTGCCGTACGTGCCCGTGAAGGAGCGTAAGAAGCAGCACATGATGAAGCTGGGTCGAATCGTTCAATTGGCCGCGGAGACGTCGCAACCAAAGTCCTCGAGCGAGAACGAGAACGAGGATGACTCCCAGGGGGCGCACGATGCAGAGACCTGGGGTCGCAAGTACAACATTAGTCTGCTGGACCAGCACACGGAGCTAAAGAAGATTGCGGAGGCCAAAAAGCTTAGCGCCGTGGAAAAACAGTTGCGCGAGGAAGAGAAGATCATGGAGAGCATCGCCCAGCAGAAGGCGCTTATGGGAGTGGCCGAGTTGGCCAAGGGCATTCAATACCAGGAGCCTATCAAGACCTCCTGGCGCCCGCCTCGCTATATTCGGGTCACCCCGGAGGATGAGCGCCATGCCGTGCGACAGCAGTTGAGAATCCTTGTGGAGGGCGAAAACCCAAGCCCACCTATCCGCAGTTTTCGGGAAATGAAGTTTCCCAAAGGAATTCTTAACGGCCTGGCTGCTAAGGGTATAAAGACCCCGACTCCGATCCAGGTCCAAGGTCTGCCTACTGTGCTGGCGGGCCGCGACCTTATTGGTATTGCCTTTACCGGCTCTGGAAAAACTCTTGTCTTCGTGTTGCCCGTCATTATGTTTTCCCTGGAACAAGAGTACAGCCTGCCCTTCGAGAAGAATGAGGGCCCCTATGGGCTAATCATCTGCCCGTCCCGCGAGCTGGCTAAGCAAACGCATGAGATCATACAACACTACAGCAAGCATCTTCAGGCGTGCGGCATGCCTGAAGTACGTTCCTGCCTTGCAATGGGCGGGCTACCGGTCACTGAGGCTCTGGACGTGATTTCGCGTGGAGTACACATTGTTGTAGCGACACCCGGACGTCTTATGGACATGCTGGACAAAAAGATCCTTACGCTGGATATGTGCCGTTACCTGTGCATGGACGAGGCTGACCGTATGATTGACATGGGCTTTGAGGAAGACGTTCGCACGATATTCTCCTTCTTCAAGGGACAGCGCCAGACGCTGCTGTTCTCGGCCACCATGCCAAAAAAGATCCAGAACTTTGCCCGCTCCGCCCTCGTGAAGCCAGTCACCATTAATGTCGGTCGCGCAGGTGCCGCGTCTATGAACGTCACTCAACAAGTTGAGTACGTAAAGCAGGAGGCCAAGGTAGTTTATTTGCTGGACTGCCTGCAAAAGACTGCGCCGCCCGTTCTCATTTTTGCGGAGAAAAAACAGGACGTGGACTGCATACATGAGTACCTGCTACTGAAAGGTGTAGAGGCGGTGGCCATACACGGCGGAAAGGATCAAGAAGAACGGTCAAGGGCCGTAGATGCTTACCGCGTGGGCAAAAAAGATGTGCTGGTAGCTACCGACGTGGCCTCGAAGGGTCTGGACTTCCCCAACGTGCAGCACGTCATCAACTACGACATGCCGGACGATATCGAGAACTATGTACATCGTATTGGCCGCACAGGGCGCTCCAACACCAAGGGCTTAGCCACCACGCTGATTAATAAGATCACCGAGCAGTCTGTACTGCTCGATTTGAAGCACCTGCTCATCGAAGGCAAGCAGGAGGTGCCTGACTTTTTGGACGAGCTGGCGCCGGAGGCCGAGCACCAGCACCTAGACCTTGGAGACTCCCATGGCTGCACCTATTGTGGCGGTCTGGGCCATCGCATCACAGAGTGCCCAAAGCTGGAGGCCGTTCAGAACAAGCAGGCTTCAAATATAGGACGTCGCGACTATTTGTCAAATACTGCTGCGGATTACTAAACCACTGCCGGCACCTAATTGTAAGAAAACTACGACGCGGGAATAAATAGATCAGTATACATTCGAACAAATATACATTATGTAAACGTCGGGGAATTTTTCAGATTTGTCTTGACTTTGCTTTGAGTTAAGTTACTTATCGCACATAACTTTGCTTATCAATCATCACAAAAAATTAAGAGAGAGATCGTGTCAAGCCGTAAAAGCAATTCGGGCTTGAGCAAAATGTTATAAATACAAAGACGAGCTTTGACTTTCGTTTAGTGTCTGGTGCACAGCTTTTTCCGTCAGTTCGCAGCTTATTTGTCTATCGCTCCGGGATCGTCTTATATCGCGCAGATCATATAGACATACAAGTAAGTGTTTGTCCTACAGAATTCGAGATTTATCATTAACGAGCGAAGTAAACGAAAATTTCAAAAAATGTTAAGAAAATGTTAAAGTAGAGGACTACAAACAAGTCAAATTCAGTATGAGTGAGAGCTGATTACATAAAGCAGAATCCAATCATGAATAAACAACAATATTCAATGTTATCATGTTGCTGACCTTATTTCGTTAAATTGAATGATTATTTCTCTTATCAATTGTTATACAAAATATGAAAGGACATGAGGGCAAAACCAATGATTCTAATGGAAGAAAATAAGTTTAAATTTTAAACTTAAAATTTACAAGTGATGAAGGCCTCCTTGCCGACAGACTTTCAGCAGATTATTAATTGTGATAATGGGGCTAGCTGATATCTATTTGACAAAATAAATGTTTAGACAATTAATATTCTAAACTTGTTCAAAGTATGCGTACGGCCTGCAGAAAATATGTAAACTCAAACAAAATGAGCCCCAAAATATCAAAACATGTACATATGTACATATATGCACGTACATTGCACGTCGTAGATTTTACAAATTGTTTTATTTGCAAATTTAGCCTGTAGACATTTCTAAGTCACCTACAGTGTATATTGTGTTTTCTAAAAACCCTACCAATGGTACATACCAAATACTCTTGCTCAGCACTAAGAATGACCTTCATATTGTCTCATAGACTAGTTAAAGCAGCGTTTATTCTTTTATTTTGGTTTCGACCCATTTGCAAGAAAGGGCTAAATGGGCTGGCCGCTCGACATAAGCAATTTTATACCAACCCAGCTGAGCCATACCGCAAAACTATGTAAGTATGTAGCTGAATGACACAATGCGAAAACATGCGTGCTGGTTTTTCATCAATCTTATGGTCTGATCAAACACCAAACTATAGATATGTATGTACATTT